CCCCAAAACCCCAAAACCCCAAAACCCCATGTTCATATTTAAGTATTTTATTGCAAGTTAATAAATTATAATAATTCTTATATTGGTAATAGTACTAGTATTAATAAAGATGAGTCAAACTTTGAAAAAGTTGAAAGAGATCCCAGTGGTAAATAAAATCATGAGTGATTTGGACAGAACTCTTGGTTTAAAAGATAAGGTATGAATCCTAAACTCATAAGAAAGTTGTTTCTTAACAATATAGGTTTTAGCTGAATTTGTTTTAGATGTTGCAAAATAGAGTCAGAATGTGACAGCATTTGAGTCGAAGCTATAGGAATACGAAGCAGAATTTCCTATAGAACTGACTAATCAAATTTATGCTTCAGTAACTAAAATGCTACCCGAATATTTTAGAAACTCAACTATGATAGTTGGCTAAAATGGTTAATCAGTAGACTTCGAAATAGACTAATTTGGAAATAGAAAAATGCTCTCTGAAGAACCGGAAAATCCTCTTTTCTCTACAAATACAAATTATGGTAAACCAGAGACAGAGGAAGATAAATTTGACAAATCAGAAGCATTCGATAAGGATTTCTTGACTAAAAAGTATCCAAGTCTGGCGATTCCAAATAAAGTGAAAAATACAGAAGAAATTGATATACTTGGTGAATTAGATCTTGATACAGATTTAAATGAGGAGCATAAAGTTTCAAATGCTAAGGAAAAAGCTAAGTCCTCGAGAAGAAAAGATTCAAGATCATTATCAAAAGATCGTAGAGGAGATAGCAGATAAAGAAACCATAGAAATAATGAACGTGACAAAGATAGAAGAAGGAGAGATTCAAGGTCTAGATCAAGATCGGAAAGAAGAAGATCTAGATCTGGAGGTAGATAATAGGATAGGAGGAGAAGAAAAGATTCAAGATCTCATTCTAAAGATAGAAATAGAGGAAGAAGTGGATCAAAAGATAGAAAGCATAGAAATGATTTCTCTAGAGATAGAAAAAGTAGATCATCTATGGAGAGAAGAACCCCAAGACAAAGAGAATTGCCTTTCAAATTGGGCGACATTTTCAAAGGGGTTGTTAAAAAAGCTTAGGATTTTGGATTTTTCGTTCAAATAGTAGATGAAAAATCTGGCTATAGGAAAGAGGGATTAGTACATGTTAGCCAAATAAGATAAGGTATCAGGCTAGAAAAAGCAACAGACTCAGGCTATGAGGAGAATGATGATGTTTATGTAAAGCTAACTTAGATAAGAGATGATGGTAAACTTAGTTTCTCAATGAAAGAATGTGATCAATATTCTGGAATGGATCTTAATCCTGAAAAGACAAGACAACTCAAAGTTGAATAATTGAATAAGAATAATCCCTAAAAAGATAATGAGGAAGAGTATGAAGTCACTGGTGCAATTGATCACAAAGGAGAAACTATCAAGACAAGAAGAGCTATTCAAAATCCTTCAAAACCTATAGAATTCTAATAAGATTCATAAGGTATGTTTGGTGGGATTACAGGCATATTACTGGATACAACTGAATCAACAAAAGGTAAAAGTGGGAAAAATAGAATTGCTTCCCCAGACCTTTGGGAATTAACTAGACTATAAGGTGCTAATGTGCTAAATTTAGTGCAAGATCCTAATCTTTAGAGACTTTAAAATGCAGTCGACAATGAATTAGATGAAGAAATCGCAGATGTTGAATTAAATGACAAAGAAGCGCCATTTTTAAAAGGATAAACTACGAAGGCAGGACTATGTCTTTCTCCTATTAAAATTTCTAAAAATCCTGATGGATCATTGCAAAGGGCTGCAATGAAATCAAGTCAACTTGCCAGAGACAGAAAAGATGTTAGGGACTAATAATAAAGAGCAATATCTGAGGCTTTACCGAAGGACTTGAACAAAATAAGAGATGATCCTACTGCTAATCCAGCTGTGAGAAATCTTGCTTCTACTTTGAGGAATATCACCCATAATTAATTTGATTTACCTGAATGGAAGAAAGATAGCAATACAAGACCTTCATAGAGTTTGACTGGAAGGACTCACATGTCAATAAGAGAATAAAGAGAGTAACTTCCAATTTTTATGTTGAGAACAGAATTAATCAGAGCAATATTTGACAATAGAATACTTGTAGTTATTGGAGAAACTGGGTCAGGGAAAACAACTCAAATGCCATAGTATTTAGTTGAAATGGGATTATGCTCAAAAGGAAAGAAGGTTGGATGCACTCAGCCAAGAAGAGTAGCTGCAATGTCTGTGGCAAAAAGAGTTGCTGAAGAAATGGGTGTTAGATTAGGTTAAGAGGTGGGATATTCAATCAGATTTGAAGATTATACTTCTCCGAAAACTGTAGTTAAGTATATGACTGATGGCATGCTTCTTAGAGAGTGTTTGATTGATCCAAAGTTATCAACATATTCTGTAATAATGCTAGACGAAGCTCACGAAAGAACTATTCATACTGATGTGCTATTTGGATTACTAAAGTAAGCTATGGAAGTTAGAGATGACTTAAAGTTAATTGTAACATCAGCCACTTTAGATGCAGAAAAATTTAGCGCTTATTTCCATGATTGTCCAATATTCAGAATACCAGGAAGAATATTCCCTGTAGAGATATTATTCAGCAAAGACCCAGAGGCTGACTATTTGGAGGCTGCTCTCATTACTGTACAGTAAATACATTTATAAGAGCCAAGAGGAGATATTTTACTTTTCCTCACAGGACAAGAGGAAATTGATACAGCTTGCTAAATTTTACATGAAAGAATGAAAGCTTTAGGAGAGGAAGCTCCAGAACTTATGATTTTGCCAGTTTATTCTGCTTTACCCTCCGATATGTAATCAAAAATATTTGATCCAGCTCCAGATGGCTCTAGGAAATGTGTTATTGCTACAAATATCGCTGAAGCCTCACTTACTATTGATGGAATATTTTATGTTGTAGACCCAGGATTTGCTAAATTAAAAGTTTACAATCCTAAACTTGGAATGGATACCTTGGTTGTTAGTCCCATTTCCTAAGCCTCTGCAAGATAGAGAGCAGGAAGAGCAGGTCGTACAGGTCCTGGTAAATGTTTCAGACTTTACACAGAGGAAGCCTATAAAAATGAAATGCTTCCAACTTCAATTCCTGAAATTTAAAGAACTAACCTTGCAAATACAGTGCTACTTTTAAAAGCTATGGGCATTAATGATCTAATCAATTTCGATTTCATGGATCCTCCTCCAATTCAATCATTGATTGCAGCTATGGAAAGTTTATATACACTTGGAGCACTTGATGATGAAGGCTTGTTGACTAAACTTGGTAGACTCATGGCTGAATTCCCATTAGAACCATAGCTTTCCAAGATGACTTTAACCTCTGTTGATCTTGGTTGCTCTGATGAAATTATAACTATAGTTGCAATGCTATCAGTTTAAAATGTGTTTTATAGACCTAGAGAGAAACAATAAATAGCAGATTAAAAAAGAGCGAAATTCTATCACCCTGATGGAGATCATTTAACATTACTTACTGTATATGAAGCTTGGAAAGCATAAGGATCAGCAAATGCTTGGTGCTTTGAAAATTTTATTCAAGCAAGAGCGCTTAAGAGAGCCTCAGATGTGAGAAAGCAGCTTATAACAATTATGGATAGATTCAAACTCCCTGTAAGCACATGTGGAACATACACAAATAAAGATTATTCAAAGATTAGAAAATCTATTTGCGCTGGATTTTTTGTTCATGCTTCAAGAAAAGATCCCCAAGAAGGCTATAGAACATTGACGGATAACTAACAAGTTTACATTCATCCAAGTTCATCACTATTCAATAAGAATCCTGAATGGGTAGTTTATCATGAGCTTGTGTTAACAACTAAAGAGTATATGAGAGAGGTCTGCACAATTGATCCCAAATGGTTGCTAGAGGTTGCTCCAAAATTCTTTAAGAGCTGCAACCCTAATGAACTTAGTAAGAGAAAGAAAAATGAAAAAATTCAACCATTATTTAACAGGTATGAAGATCCTGAGGCCTGGAGACTCTCCAGAAGAAAAGGATGACCTTATTTTATATGTTGGAGACTTAAGCAAAAAATTAATTAATTTTAAAAGCAGTTTTAATTTCATAATTTTAGAATATCATGATAATATCAGTCACATGGGGTTTTGGGGTTTTGGGGTTTTGGGGTTTTGGGG